CCTCTAGCTTGAAGCCCTATATTCCCCTGGGAACGTAAAGGAATAAAATGTTTTTTTGAAAGAATAAATTTAACATTGTAAATATGTTACAATCATCAACGAGAGTGGAACGTCTGTACGTCCAAGACATATGACTGAATGTTTAACATTCATTCCACTAACCAAACTATTATTCATATGATTGTTTTGTTACAAAGTTAGTTAGACTACGACGCGTTAAGTAAGAAAATAGGAACTGAATATTCTCTGAATACGTGCCTTTTGATAAAAATTTTGTAATTATAAGAAAATGTTATATCATATTTGCAAAATGTATCAAAACATGCAATGCATTCTGTTTAGGTGAAACGTTGAGGAAAAACACCACTAGTTTTCTTCTTCTTCGTCCATTTTCAGTTGAATTCATGGGTGAATAAAATTTTGTATTTCAAGAAGTATTTGTAATGTGAAAGACTATTAAAATACTCAACTAAATCTATAAAAAATGGAGATAAGATCTTCTTATTCATTCAACTTACTCATCCATGGATCAAATATTCAGTGTTTATTGATGACTTTGAATAACATTCAGTTTGTTCGACGGTTGCTTTCAAAAATATTCAGTGTCTGACAGCGTATACTAGTCAGAGTTAGCTATAATGCTGACTGACTCAACGAACTTTATCTGTTCAAGGTTAGTGGAATACTCCTCGATGGTTGGCAAACAGTGTTTTCTGAAATGAACAGTCAGAAAGATATGAAAAATGCCTATCAAATACAGCAACAATAGTTCCAAGTTTCAAGTATTGGCTCGTAGGGATTTGACTGACTGGTTACAGGATTTTATCATGAACTGGTATCGGTTAGAGAATCATTGGGAAACCTACATTTTGGGACTCTCTAACTGTACGCACCTACGGGGTTCGAACCCAGGGCCTTATGGTTATTAAGCCAGCGAGCTCGTAGACCATTAAGCCACTGGGATCTGATACAATTGCCCATGTTCAGAGTTTGCTGTTTGCAGGTCCATTCTTAGCTCAGTAGGTCTTAGTTACAAATGGCAGTGATTCAACAGACATCTAAGAATTTTTTATTGTTATTCTTTTCAGGTTCGGACATTCATACTAGTTAAGATTTTACTGCTATTATCCACTCCTTGGGTCTCTCTCGAGCAGAACACAAATTTTCAGTAGCACATCTCCAACGGTATTCTGTTCACTTCCGTCTTTATACCCTGGATCCCTAAATGTTCAAAACCTTTCATTTTCTCTTCACATGGTATCTTCTGTGTCAACCTCGAACAACCAAACTTCTTTTCCCCGTCACATTACTACTCGAGCGCCTAAATGGCGTCTGACGTCACTTGATAATCTCCTCAGGGAATATCTAGTCCATATGTCTTTTTTTTTACAGCAGACATGTTGGGTTGGTTGCTCTGTTGTCAGAGTTCACTGTTACTTATCCTTCCCAGCGGGTTATCTAATTTTCATTATCGAGATGGTGAAGGCAGATGTTGGTGGAAAATTTGCAGTAGTTTTGTGATGATGATGATGCCTGCTAATTCTCTACACAACACAGAAACACTAACTTGACATTAATTTTGAAAATTCTTAGTTTAACTTTGAAACTCTCATATTCTTGGTTAAAGAAAGAGATGGAGAATATTTTTACCTTTTTCTTAAAAAAAACAAGATGTAAAACTTACATAATTCATTTTCACAGTGAAAGCTTGAAATTAATTAGTCTAGTGGTAAATTGCTTCAAAGTTTTATTATTTGTACACATTTCAAATTTAATTGCAATAATCTAAGGAAAAAACAAAGCCCATCTGATTGGCTGCTTTTATTGTTGTTGATATGGGTAATTTTTTCGCCTCTTTTTTTAAAATCAACTAAATTGATCCGCTTTCTTCGTATCAACAGTAGATATCAACGTGTTTTATTGACAACTAGTCATAGTGTTGACAGTCTTGTCATTGGATTCATGTATTATCGTAACAAAGTAATATCTTAGTTTTTCAAGTTTGACTATGGACTGATATCAGCTGGAGAACCACTGAAAACGAGGCAGTACTGGACAGCTGTTTCGTCTTAGTCTGGGACTCTTCATCATTGCGCGACCAACGAGATTCGAAACCAGGACCTTCCAGCTACAAGACAAGCTTGTAAACCACTCATGCCACTGGGACCCGACTCAACGGAACATGAATTACTTCTTATACCAATTCGGGATTTTAGCGCAATCGCTAGCCAATGTAAGAGTCAAGCATTTGCCCCCACTCCTGGCAGGATGAATCACACTGATAACGACTTCTCACTAGAGTTCGAAGAAACTCCGTCCTGTAGCCAGTCTCTAGAGAGTATCAGAATAATTCTCAAGAGATGATTTGTAAGGATTTGGTTTGTTTTTCCAGTTATTTCATGCGCAGGAAATATCTAAACTCGAAACTTCTCCACATCTGCTTATTTCATTGAAGTACTTAACTGCAAAATAAGGACAAAATTCTTCTGATTTGTTGGCATTTTGAGGTTTCAATTTCCATAATTTTCAGAATTTTCAGGTTCTTGTCATTTTAACCATTTTTAAATCTGAGACAGTATGTCCAAATAACACAAATTTGTTTCATGCGGTGGGAAAGGGCTAGACGAGGTAGAACTGATAACAATGGGTTAAATAATAGTCACAGTTTTTCACATTTTCACATCGAGGTGAAAATAATACAAGATCAAAGTCTTAATGGGCCCTAGTCAGATGCTGTTTATGACTTTATGAATCAGAATAGGTGGAACAGTATTAGGATATTATTCGTCCGTCTGATCACTTTTATCAACTCAGTGATCCTTGTAACCACACTAATCTGGTGAATGACGACAAAAACAACGGGACTCTAAAGCTAAAAATTCCAATCTACAATCTGTTTAACAATACAGAGATCCATTTTGAAGGGAATACAAATGACTTGTTAACAGCAATTGAAAATAATAAATTTAAAACAGAACACTAATGAAATCTTATGAGAAAAACAATGAATAATAATCAGAATTAACGAGATTACATAGCGATCTGAAGTACTTGGTATACGCCAATTTTTTCTCTCGTCAACTTGAAAAGTAAATATGAAAGAAAGAAAATTTTGGTGATTATGGAAAATGTTCGTTAATTTTGATTAAATACTGTCGTTAGGATTAAAATTTTTGTTCGAAAGCATCATTTATGAATGGTAATTAGATAATTTGCATTTACTGACGAGGAAATGCGCATAAACCGACTTAACTTGCTTTCGTTTAATTAGCATAGTTGACGCAAATTCTTAAACTTGTATCTAGCAGCTATTTAGAGGAACACTAATTGTGTCAGTATCGATTTGGATCATTCTGGATTAAGGTTTAAAGCCGTTTCACAGTCACTCGATAAGGTTGTGAAGCTACATCGATTGAGATGGCAAGAACTTGTGTTGCGCGTGCCTAGCAATCACCTTCCTCGGTGGGAAATGATATCTGACATGGTTTTAGGTCAAACCGAAACTTGGAATCAGTCCATGAAATGTTTGACAGTCTGAGAGGTCCTTAGGATTCTCACAACTAATGCCTGGAGACAACTGCTGATATGGCTCGAAATCGTTCTCAGTGGCTCACATGGATTCACTCTTTGCGGTCTGTCATGTCCAATAAAGCCTTGTTGTTTTTCTGTGTTGCTGTTCTTTCGCCCACACATTCCTTCTATTTCTGAGTCTCTTTTATCAAACTTTTGACAACTTGAACTGCTGAAATCCGGCACATAGTTCCATACAGAAATCAGTCAGTTAATGATGATGGTTCAGTGACAGAATGCGTGCCAACCACACACGCAGTTAGCTTCAAATCCCCTCTGATGTGCTTCTTAACCTCATCGCCTTTACTTACTGGTAGTCAGCCTACAAAAGAGGTAAGGTTATGCATGTCGCTAGAAAACACATTTTGTAAAAACTACATTACTGCTAATTAAACTTTAAAACTTGAAGCCCCATGTTCCACTGTAAGCGCAAAGGGATAGGAAAAAGTTCTTCGTAGACTGATACAGTGAAATAACTAACAGGTAGGCCAGTTAAGGTGACATTGTGAATTTCAGTGATCCCTTGGATTTTTTCACAAACAATTTTGTGTGTATATGAATGTGCACAGTGTGCATCATCAAACACTTATTGGTTTTAAAGGGATGTTTCTTCATCTTTCAACTTTTATTTGGCCCTTACTTGTGGTATAGGGTAGAGTGCTCGACAACCACGCAGGTGGCCAGGGGTTCAATCCCCAGCTGACTGACGTTTTTGCCTCTCTAAGCTGGTAATAAGATCGGTAAAGAGGGGAGGTTGGCCATGAGGCTAGCAGCCCCACCTCGTGAAAATAAACAGCACTTCTACTGAAACTTCGAAGCTGTAGCTTGAAGCCCTATGTCCTATCAGGGAACGTATAGGAATAATATTTAAAAAATGCTTAAATGGTTATGTTTGGCGTGTAGGCAGCTCAAGAAAAGACAATAGTGTATTGATATCTTGCACATGAAACCAGAATATTTGAAGCTAATTCTTATACAACGCCAGGTGGATACGTATTTCAGCTACAGAATTTGTAATCCTATGCTTGAGTGTTGACGTAGGTTAATTAGCCTGCACGTACATGGATTTTAAAATCGAGGTAACATAGAAATCTTCAATGGTTAGACATCGGCACACAATCTGATGGATATATAATTAATATATATATATATATATATATTTATCAGCCGTTGGGTTATCCTCACTAGTTTGAACATACAACCATGCACAAATTCAAAGATGTGGTAATGCGCTTTTGATAAATTTACATCAGAATACAGTAGCAGTTAGGAATAACTTCGCCTACTTTCGCTCTGGATAGCATGACTTTGAGCACTGACAAAAGAATAAGATTTTCTTTGGATGTGACATTCAGTTTACATTTCTACAGTAAGTAACTATACCGAGTAGACTGCAAAATGGTTTTTTTCTTTTAAATTTTCGCTTACAGGTCTGGTGTTATTCAAGAAGGTGACAGAGTAATATGCATCAATGGTCAATCCACACTCAATAGAACTATTGATGAACTTATTCAGCGATACCTACAGCCAATTGACTTTGAAAAGAAATATTTCCGTGTTCAATCGCTGACACTATTGATACAGTATACTGTAGCGGATTCAGTTGTTCCAGCAACTGGAATTTTTGATGTTAAACTGATTAGAAGATCAGCAAGTTTGGGTATTAATTTGCAAGGTGAGAAATATTGTGTTGCATATATATGTACATATATCATAAGATTTGATGACATTTAGCTTCACACAATTACACCCTGGTATCTGCTTACTTGTGATTCACTTTAAGAGGAAAACATTTCGAAATTATTTTGTCTGAGAAATAATTGCTTCTTTTTGGATAAACAATTTAATAATACCTAGAATTTCCCATTGAAATCGAAACCACTTAACACTACTTGATTTCATTTACTCTTCATTATTAATCCACCTGTTTCACAAAAAGATGTTATTCCTAAAGTCATTAGTTTGATGGTTGCTCAATTCAGGTGCTGCTTCACTGATTTAATGGACAAAGGCGAAATCTCTGAGTTAATATCTTTTCAGTAAGCAGCTGCATTAACATCTTAACTGAAATAATAATAACAATCACATTTCTCAAGTAAACTTGGAGTAGTTATGCTTTTTAAACGTGTGCTGTATTTAATTGAATTTTAGATTTTCCCGTCGATTGATTGGACCGAAGTGCTCGGTCTCAGTTAAATAATTAATATGACCCGTTGCACAAGAGGCAGTGGCTCTCGTGGCCCAAGTGGTCTAGTGGTGTTTGAAACTATGGGCACTGGGTTCGAGCCTCGGTGGGAACATCATCACTCAATGGGGGATGCAGGTACATCCAGATGACGAGTCTGAAATAGGACGAAATGCGCATTATCCTGGATTCCATTACCAGTTACCATCCTCCAATTAAATTCTAATTGTGTTGTATTTGACCACATTTTCAGATTAATGTATAATACTGCCTTTTTCAGTGTCTCTAGCAGTTATGTCAAATGTATCATTAACATCTGGTCAACACATTCAGTGACTAAGTGTTTAAAGCCGTATATATTCATTAACTAAAAAAGACGAACAAGTGGTTTTCATTCGTTAGGCTTTAAGTGGAGCACAGGACTTGAGGCTTTGGATTTTCAGTAGCGATTGTGTTGCTTTTATAAGGTGCAGTTACTAGCCTCATGCTCAAACTTCCTTCTTTCTCAAGTGGTAGCTTGAAAAAATTTCGTTTGGTTGCACATTTGATCATAAGTTGACATCAGTTAAAGAACCACTGGAAAATCAGGGAATACTGGGTAGCTGTTTCGTCTTAGTGTGGGCCATTTCAACAAAACGCATCCACCGGAATTCCGGTTATAAGGCGATCTCGTGTACCCTTCCGTCACCGGGACCGTATCCTACGGTCCACAATTTTTTTCTTTCGCCATCTTACTAACCTCTAGTAAGCTAGGTGAAGTTTAAGAGTGCGTCGGTGTGGAATCAAATCCAGACTTCCTGTGCTGCTTGCAAGCATTGTACTATTGAACCATCAACAAAAGAGTAGAAACAACCAGTACCCTTACAGCACTAACCTGACATTGTAATAAGATATTTGCATGAGGTAAAGGTCACGATGTTCCCTTTTATGTAGGTAATAAATCAATATTACATAACAGGTATACACCTTTCTGAGTAATTCTAAGTGTTAAACAGCACATTCATCGGACTGTATGCGCCTCTAGTAGACGAGTCCCACATAAAACTAAGCCTATTTGTGTCGTGGATTCCACTGCTACCCACCACTAGACAAGTAAATTAAACAAAGGTATTCGAACAAAAATACGTTAATGCTACTATGTCGCTATTCTCCTACAGTTGATTGACATAAGTTTGAAATGTTCCTAGAGCAATTAATTTTAGTCGATTTTGTGAACAGTTAAACAGCTAGCTCCACTTCCAAAGAAACCCTGTTCAACCATTCATTTTATGATCAAGTAGGATATGCAATTTTTACAACTTAGATATAAAATGAACTAGCACTGGTTTCTAAAAACATTTTTCGAGTAAAAATCAATTTCGCAGGATAATTAATTAAAGAGTGACTTTCAGTTTCCTCCCAGGCGCTTGACTAGGGAGAAAATCTACACCAATAAATCACCTATTAGTTGAATGTTGTAAACATAGTTGATTTGCTTTCATTAGGATAGTAATTTATCCTCTCTAGCCATCATATCTTAAAGATTTATATCTGTACTCTGACAGTTAGTTACATTAAGCAAGTATCCTTTTCACTGGACACTAGTTAGTAACTAGTGTGATGTGTATGTGTGTCTAGTCCTTTCTTTGATGCAAACTGAATTCTATCAGTCACGTTTGCAATGTGGCCAGCATTCTAGGGGGCTCACCATCACAGTGCACTGTAAATTGTTGGTATTAGACGGTTGGAGCCAATCGACAGGAAGCACAGTCTGACCTAGGTTTTGTGCTAGTTGCAGATACGCCTTGTTGATGACACACTACACTAGCTACTGACTAGTGAACAATGAAAAGAAATATCCAATACTGTCATACAAGAGGTCGATCTTGAGCCCGAATAGCTCAGTTGTAACGTCTCTGACTGCAGTACTCATTGGGTGACGCTGGTTCGAATCTCCTAACGGACACCGTTTTCTTCTCGATTGGAGATACACCTTGATGACTGGTGAGTGTCAACTAGCACGAAACTTAGATCAAATGCTTCTTGCCGATTGCCTCCAACCATCAAAGCACGTATTGTTTTACGAAGCAAAGTGGAACACAGAAATCTGGTAAAAAAAGAGATTCTCAGAAGCCTTCCTAATCTTCTTAATAATTATCCCAACATGTTATTATTATTCCCTTGGGTTCTGACTAGAGCATAGGTCTTCAGTAACGTATCTCCATTCCACCTCGTTCTTTGCAGGCCTCTTCGAATGGCTCCAAGAGTTCTCCTACGCTCTCATCTCCTCCTTACACAGTCGCAACAGTATACCAGTTTTCGATTGATAAATTTGTTTTGTCCTGGGCCTATTCATTCAGTTTTCACTATAAAAATAAAGGTTATTTGACACTATCAAACTGCGTACTGTAATGCATTCTTATGAAATGTTAAATGTTAAAATGTGTTGTTCGATTGGTGTCCGAGGAGGGGGGCATAGTCTTATGCCCACCAGTACTCATCATATTAACACATTCGCAAACCTCAGCGAAATTCAAACTCTGTACGCTATTAGAAATCACCTTATTAAGTGTTTATCTGTGTACTACTTTTGTCTATTTCAGTATTATCGTTTTTATTAGTCTCATATCACTTGCCATTAAATCTTACTAAATAAATAACAAGTGCTTATTTTTTTAATCTTATTGTTTATAAACAATTAGCATCGATCAATAAGACAGCTGGACAACCGCTGTTAATTAGTAAAGTTATACCTGGTAGTGTAGCAAGTCGGAGTGGTTCCATAAATCCTGGTGATATCCTGTTAGCTGTCAATGGTATACATCTATCGTCGTGTAGTCTTTCTGAGGCTATACAACTTCTACAATCACCAGATGAAGATATTATAGTACTGAGAATACAAAAGATGGATACATTTTCAACTACTCCGGGAATGACAATTAAACATGGATCAGACAGTTCCGCTTTGCATGATTATCCTTATGATGGTCTACAACACCGACATTATCATCCTCATCAACACCAACAGAAAACATCTTATCGAAAAAGTTTCGATGAAAATCTAATTAACAAATGTACAAAATCCGATACACACTATAGGTCAGTTCAGAATGAAGATTCAGATGACCGCGGATATTCAAATGAAGATGTGAAAAAGCTGTCGGATAATAATACATCATCACTATCATCTTTTCCGCCGAGTCAGTCTACACGTAGATCACACCAACATCAACATCATCAACATTCTACAACACCTTTTTTACAACAGTATCCAATAGAAAAGCTGTTTCCAAGTGAATCAGAAGAAACAAGAAAACTATACAAACATGGTGATCGTAACACTGGCAGTCCTACACATCAAGAATATCAGCATCGAGTTAATCACTGCCAAAATGTAAAAAGTCAAAGGCTTAATCAAGAAGAGCTAGACAATGTGCTTAGTCATTGCATGAATTTAAAACTAGATTCTGCGATCGGTAAGTGAATTACTATACAATTTCTTCTGATTTTCATAAATTAGTGAATAATGTCTACCTTCCGAAATCTTTAGTTTTTTTTACAGTAGTTCTAGACTTGTATTTGAGTACTAGTGACCAGTGACGCACTGAAACTGATAATTACACAAAAATAACGAATTTGCCTATCTTGTGTGTATATTCGCAGATTTACCGAAAATACAAAAAATCACATTGTTCAACTATTGAACTATTGAATAAGACACTGTGGTGCGAAAATTGAAAAGTTATAGATTCAAACAACAGACACTGGATATATTTAGGTTTAATATTAGATTTTCTTATAATTACTTAGCATTTAGTGCATTGCATTTATTACCCTCAAGCATAGAAGGACGTCTATGAATTTTGTTGTTCTAAGAATGATTTTCTTTAGCGACAATAAAAGTTTTCTGTGTTGGTTTGCACTGATTCGGTAGATTTTGAGTCATATCACTAAGTAACACCTATTAGAGAACCATAGGAAACCAGAAAGTACTGAACAGATGTTTTGTCTTAGTTTCGGACGCCTCAGCAGTTCTCATCCAACACAGCACTGGGAATCAAACGAAGTACATTTGCGTTACGAGGAGAGCTGCTTAACTGTTGGGCCACTGGGATAGAATCCATGTCTCGGTGATGGATGCGTACTGCTGAGTAGTTCCAAACTAAGACAGGATATCTGCCCAGTACTTTCTGATTTCTCATGGTTCTCTAACCAATTTAAGTTCGTGTTACAACTTCAAATCAATCAAATCACTCAAAGCAAACAAGTGAAAATCATTCTAATCTTCAAAATTGACTGACTACGTAGTGAAGCTAACAACCGTTTTAGTGACAAGTCCTGGCCAATGGAGTTCACTTGATTAGGTGGTACGAAGACAGATACATGCTGGTGACACTGATCAGTAGTTGTTCTATAGAATGCGAATGGGTGGAAGTTAGAATTCATAAGCCAATGTATTCTGTCTCAGGTCCTGGGTTTGATTCCCGCTGCAGTGATGTGTGCGTACTGATGAACAAGGGTGAAACGGTCGCCTAGTACCATCTGGATTTCAATGGTCCTCTAAATAATGTCACTTCCTGAAGCAACTGTAGATAAGCAAATAATAAACAAAATATACTCAGTCTTCAAATAGACTAAATCCAGTTTAGATACATTTTTTTCCTTCACGTTCCCAGTGGAACATAGGGCCTCAAGCTAGTGGCTTGAAGTTTCTGTAGTAGTGTTTAATTTTTACAGGATGGGGTTGCTAGCCTGGTCGGCGAGCGTCCTTACCTCTATGCCACCGACGCACAAGTTTAGATACATTCCATAACCATAATCATAGAATCATTAATAACATCCTACTACACGGTTTATTTGTTTCACTAAGCAGATGACATTTGTTTAGCTTCGTCGTTATCAGATTATTCAGAAAAATCTTTACTCTTGCTGTTGCTTAAAACTGTAAACTGTATTTAAACTTAACGTTGCCTAATCATGCATAGTATTACTGTTAGCTAGATGATTTAGTAAGTATATACCAATCCATTGAATCAGTCTAATTACTTTTCCATGGATAAAATGTTTCTCTTCAAAGTTTGATTTTCAAAATACATTGCCGTAAACTCTAACTCCATTCTCTTTACAACTTCATATTTAATCAGATAATTAGATATATGCATGTTCAACCAGCTGTAAAGATTGTTAAATCGAACTTCAGGTCAAGGTTATCATGAAGACTTTTTCAGAATAATTTGAAGAACTAAAACAGGCAACAAATGAAAAAGAAAAAAGATTGCTGAACATTTTGTGTAAGATTTCAAATTAGTTTAGGGACAGAGAATTATTATTCCTTTTGGTCATCCTATCAGTAGTATCAAATAATTCACATAAACTAATGATATACAGGTCGTAATATATAATTTCTAAGAAAAATTTGATTTTTACTCGAGCATGTAGTATGTTGAGGTTGGCAAACCAATCGATGAGTGTTCGTAGCAAGTTGTGTAAGCAGAAAGCGTTACTATATAATAAAAACTTCTGGTCTTTTATCTGTTATCAGCATTCTTCTTGCCTTTTCATAATTGACTGTTTATATCCAATGATTTTCTATGAGACTTCTTTGTAACTGCTTCTTTCACTTCCATCTACGAATGTTACACAGTAATCAGTCATATCAAGGTTATTTTTAACCGGTTTCTTTACTTCTTTCAACGTTTTTTTTAAACTTATAGTGAGCTTATTGACTGACAGGAATATGTTGTGTCAATAAGAGAAAACTTTAGAAGATCTTGACTTTGCAGAAGATTTATTTTTAATGTCACACAATCTCAAGATTCAAGGGTGAAAACTGAAAAGTTGGAAGGAGAAACAACGAAGACAGGACTTTAGCTGAACATAGAGAATACTAAGGTGATGAAGATAACCAATCAACAATAACAACAAGCATCAATCTAGCCAGTATACTTTCAAATAAAGTCTGTGGCGCGGATGGCGGTGTTAAAGCCAGGATCTGGAAAGTTAGATACGCCTTCATTAGTTTGGAGAATCAGTGTAGAAATCTTCTGCATTCAGGATAAGGAACAAGATTCATATGTTCAGAACTAATGTCAAGTCAGTTCTTCTATATGATTCATAGACTCAGTGCGTCACCAAAAGCATTTCCAACAAGCTGCATACTTTCATCAACAGCTGACTTCTCTGGCTCCATACTGAAGACCAGCCGGCAAGAAAGAATCAGCAGTAAGGAACTCTTCGAACTAACCAACCAAGAACCTGTTACCCAACAAATATGCAGAAGGAAATGGAGATGGATAGGACACACGTGAAGGAGACCAATGAATGACTATGGGCGCCAGACACTCAAGTAGAGCCGAATGGGAGAAAACGAGTTGGACGTATGACCGAGGATGATGTAGAAGAGATCGTGTGACTAGGAGATGAGAGATTATGGGAAATCATGAGTCCAGCTGAAGAGGACTACAGAGAACTGGGTGAAATGAAGATGTGTTGTTGAAGCCCTATGTTCCACTTGGAGCCTAAGGGAACAATAATAAATAATATTGACTGATCGTATTAAAAAGAAGTGAAATAATGCAATAACAATCACTTAAGTCACCCAAACTGCAGATGTCAACCTTGACTATGAATTGGAATAAAGCCTCCACGTATATACTGAATCGTCACCGTGAAATTAACCTGACTAAAGACTATCTTTCATATCATTTTATTAGTTGAATGAATGTAACCGACAGCCACCTGTAAAATACCATAGCTTTAATTTTAAATGATAAGCCTGATTTATGATTAGCATGTCACAATATAATAAAATTTCTTTTGGTATATTAGACATTAAGCTGCTTTGTGTTTACATTTTATGAAATTAGCTTAATACAAAGATAGGATGCATCGCTTTACTGTTGACTAACTTAAAACTAAGGTTAAAGGTAAACTTTGCTCAAACAAGTTAAATTGTTTGACTAGACTTGAGTGTAAAATAGTTATTGCCTAGATTCTGATTTCATTTAGTGACTATAGTCATGCATAACGCAACGGACCGGAAAAGAAGGAAATGGGATACACAAAATTTATTCTGTGTATACTTATGTACTTCACACGAAACATTGGTGAAAACAAGCTGTATTATGTGCATATTTCATCTTATAAACGGATTTTCTTGGCTTTATTCTCTCTTGACACATTACGAGGTGCTTAGTTTGAAGAGAGGAAGAAGGAAAGGAAACATGCAGATTATTCTCTTAACATTCTAGCTCTTTTCCCATCGATTCAGCAAACAAAACACCATACTGCTTCTAGTTATGTCAAAGTAAAAACAACGGAGACACAATGAAAACAGAAGAAAAAATAACAAGTTCACGTCTGTCATCTACATGTGTAAAATAACATGCCTTTTTTAAAATAATTATAAACAAAGTTGGTGTTCACCTCATTTGAACAAAGGTCATTCAATCATACTTAGATATTGATTATACTCCTAAAAAGCAACAACACAACATGGGAGATTTGTGAAGTATGCACAGTTACCTTTTCAGACAATTAGATATATGTGAAAATTGTATTTGTAAAATCTCAGCAAAAGTGAAATGATTAATTCCAACGTTTCCGAACTTCTTCAGGGAAAAACTCATTTAAATTTCGCTGAGATTTTACAAATATAAATTTTACACATGTCATCAATATGCATCTACCAGTTCACCTGCTTGTGTGAAGCTAAATATGTCGGTCATACCGAGCATTTGCTATTCAAACGTATCATCGAACACTTCCCCACAGTCATGGTTTTATAAAGGAGAAAAAATTATCCATCCGACTCTCTATTGTGGGACGCCTGGACACCAAGCAAACCCACAAAACAACTTCAAAGTTATTTACAGAATACGTAGGAACCTTCCTAAAAGAGTAATAATTGAACTTCTTCAAACCGTAGAAGGAATGGCAATTCACATGTTAAGACCTGAATTATGCATACAGAGGAAGTTTGCTTAGTCATTAAATCTACAGTGAACCTCACCTATTTTAACAGCACATACGTAATTTTTGTTTCACCACTTTCCTGCTTGCTTGTTTCTTAATTGTATAATATTTTTTTCTCCCACCCCTTATTAACACAGTTTTTAACTTGACTTTTGTACAATTTCAATTGTAGTTGAGCTGTGCTCAACCACGTCAATTAAATTAAGTCACTCAACTTGCTTTTTCGATCTTATTTTAGTTTCTAACCCATTAGCGAAATTTGTGGTCTACAATTTACATTTCTGATGACACATCCTTGAAAATATTCCTTTTGTCGCGATTTTACAGCTTGAGAATAATATCGCTGGAAAGAGTAACTCTCTACTGAACTAATAAAGTAATAACACATAATGATAAGTTTTGTTCTTGATAATATTTCGAGCAAAATTACTGCCTCTGTTCACACCACTGTTGGAATTGTTTTGTTTGCTGAACGCCTTTTCTTTTATCTGACTGAATGGGGATATTTAAATATGTTTACTTCGTACTCGGCGCCCAATTATTTTGAAACTATTTGGTCAAATCTTGATCACAGTTCATATGAATATAGATAGATAACCTATTTGTACAACTATACTGATTGTCAGTATGCTTTTAATGTTGATAATCATGATGATGACGTTATCAGTAATACAAAAAACACAAAAATAAACTAGGTTAGGCTGATAATGTATCGAAAAAATGGTAGCATGAGGATAATGCATTTACAAACTAATAAAACTTCACTTATTTTGGGTGAAAAAACCAACAAACAAACTGGTACTATTACTGGATAGAGATTCTATAAGATGTCCCTAATCCAACTAATACTATTACCCTGGGATAGCAGAGTCAATGTGATCATAAAAACAACTAGGTATCTTACTGAAAGCCTTTCATCACACGACTAAACTGTATTATATTATTTATTATTATTCCCTTGGGTTCCAAGTGGCTTCAACAGTACATCTCAACTTTGTTTTATCCTCTGCAGTCCTCTTCAACTGGCTCCATGATTACCCATAAGCTCTCATCTCCTCTTCATATGATCTCCTGCAAGTCATCCTTGGGCTGGCGCTTAAATTGTTGTTTCCCTTTGCAGTTTCACTCGAGAGATGACCTTGAGTTCCATGCGATCCAACGGTCTCCTGAGAGTTTCTTCCATCCATCTCCATTTAAAATAAGGATATTTGAGATCCTAAATGTGAATCTTAGTTTTATACAAAATTCTGCTGAAATAAATAGATTTTAGTTTATTAGGTGGTTGGAGGATATCGGTAGGAAGCATTCAATCTAGGTTTCGTGCTAGATGACACTCATCAGTCAGCAAGACGTATCTGCAATCGAGAAGGAACTCATGTCCATTCTGAGTTTCGAACCAGCATCACCCAGTGAGTACTGCAGTCAGAGATGTCACCACTTACCTATTCGGGATAGTGATTGACTACCTATTTGATAGTACTGGATATTTCTTTTCACTGTACACGAGTCAGTTAGTAGTGTAATATGTCATCAGCAAGGCGTTTCTGCAACTAGTACGAAACCCAGGTCAGACTGGGCTTCCTGTCGAATGCCTCCAACCATCTAATACCGATTTACAGTGTACTGTGATGGTGAGCCACGTAGCAGGATGGTCACGTTGCAAACTTGATTGATAGAATTCAATCTGCACCATACAAATGACTAGACACGCACACACACATTACACTTTACTGATTAGTATCCAATCAAAAGATTTGATCATTTCTTATTATCAAAAAGCAAACAGTAGAAAAATATTTTTGATTGAAACGTAGGTAAATAAATCTACGAATTCTACCAGGATATTTGTTAATAAAATTTTGCCAAACTCAGCTCTGTTAATGTTAACTGACCTCGTAATAATCCACAGATAAAGTATTCCACTGAGAGAATCAAAACTTGTAGATTCATATAAGTGAGAGAAACTTTAATGAAAGCAATGTTTCTTTTTCCAAGTATTGGTTTGTAGAGATTTGATTAATTTGTTACAGGACTTCGTCATTAGCTGACATCGATTAGAGAACCACTGGAAAACCTGGGAGTACTGGACAGCCATTGTATCGGGTCCAAGTGTCTTAATGGTCTACGAACTCGCCTTGTAGCCAGAAGGTCCTGGGTTCGAACCCCGATGGGTGCGTGCTGTGAAGAGTCACAAACTAGAACGAAACAGCTGTCTAGTACTATTCGCAGGTTTTCCAATGGTTTTCTAACCAATGTCAGTTCATGATGATATCCCATAACCAATGTTTTGTTTGTTTTGTTTTTGTAAAACTTTATCCTTCGGATTTGGTTCTCGCAGACTCCTATATTCAAACTTTCACGGATGCTTATCCATATTTCCGTCTCTGTCATTTGACAATATTACGTGTTCATAACTTATCTTCATTCGAGAGTGATAGGTTCCCCAGGCCAATGAATAAACCTCGCTAGTTACCATCTCTTATAAAATAGACTTAATGGTTAAACATTATATTAGACAGCTGCATAGATTTTAAAAGCTAACAAGTCATTTTCATAAAAAATTAATAGTGAAATAAATCTTCCAGGTATAAACCTTACTTCTGAGAGCATTCTGGTTCGACTTGTGATCGCTAGGAATTAATTTCACTGATTTTCATATTCTGATGCTAATAATCAATAGGAATTACATGCAGTCTTTACCTTATATATTCTAGCACTTTAGGGATTATTTTTCTAAAACATTTGGAGTATTGCTAATTTTTACTGAAAACATTAGCTAATAATTTCAGTTATCATGATAAATTATCTTTACAACGAATTTTGATGATAAGTATCTAAAACGGATAGAGTAGTATTTACATATGACAAATTTTTATCAGTTTACGCGTTGATACTTCGAAGAATTTTTCCTCCTACGACTGAACAGTAAAACTGAAAATCACTTCTGTTAAAAAAAGGATTAATACTATGAAATAAATGAAGCATCAGAAACTATCCACCAAGCCTAAGTACCTAACTGTAAGCCAGTGTATCCCATACTAATTCCCTTTACCTGAATGGTCCTCATAAAAATGAAGTTTGCTAACTAGTTCCCGACTCGTATTCACTGCAGTTGTCAAGTGTTATATATATGTTTTACAAAATCTATGGGAAATATAAGGGACACAGGGGTGCTTGACACTTTGGTGTGTATTGCCCACTTGAATCATAGATTTCCAACAACACACACTTAATTAGAAAGCCGCAGTGGTTAATGTTCGATGACTTCTTTGTATATATAATTCCTACCTGAAAAGCATCAACCTTAACCTGAAACGCTTAGTAGTAGAATATGTGCGATTCAGGTTCAAGTCGCAGGTTTACATGGGTTTTCTCGTGATTGCAAATGCACCCTAGTAACAAGCACCAAGAGGCTTGATTTCAGTTTAGTCTTTTTGCACACTGATGTCTCTTTAGTTTAGCACAACACACAAGCTACTTTAGGTAGCCTTATGTCAATAAAGCTTACAAGTTTGTCTGTCAAGCTTCTGCTGTTCATTAGAACTTGTCTATAAAAATTTCCATAGTGATCAATAAGTATCATGATTTAGTAAAAAATACACGTGATGAAATTCTCCAACCCATCAAACAAAAGCTCTACAAAACCAATACTTAAAAATTGATCTGATGCTCATTAGCGACTGGCCACATTCAGGCAGTTACCTGGGATTCTAGTGGGAAGCCGTGATCAGTAGGGTACAGCAGGTCGAAGGCGAGGCAGTAACTCATTGAAGAAGACATTACAAAATCGTCACGTTATGTCTTGAATTGGCAGAAGTTAGAATTCGTGGGCTGGCCATTGGATCGGGTTGCAGTGGCTTAATGGTCTACGAGCACGCTGGCCTTGCAACCAGGTGGTCATGGGTTCGAAACTTGGCGACGGGTGTGTACTGGGAAGGGTCTCAAACTAGGACAAAACAGTTGTCCATTACTCCCTGTAGGTATTCCAATGGTTGTCTCACTGATGCCAGCTCATGATGAAATCCCCAACCAGTTATACACGTATTGTTAAATTTTGAGTGTTTTCCAGTTATCTCAAAATACAGTATGCAAATTTCAACTAAGTTGCAAAGTCACATCAAAGTGTGAGTGTGTGTGTGTGAGATTAATTACACAGATTTTAATTTCTATATATGATTTGAGAAGTCTCCGAGGATGAAGTGTCACAAAATTATGCTATTCAGAATGATTGATTAACTTGTTCCAAGTCATAACAAGACCTTAGGCTTTTGAGTGGATACTTTATCATATTCAGAGAATCTATTATTATTTTATAAACAAAACTTTGTTTTCAATAAAGTTGAATCTAATTACATCATTGTGAGTTATCTTTTCTGAAGCTCAGGTATTCGTACAAAGAAATGACTATCTAAAAGATGATAGGTTTTTATGATTCTAATAAATCTCTAAGATGAATAAATTGGATTTTATTTGTTTTTGCCTTTTGTTTTTAGAACCTGATATGAATGTTGTACAAGTGATATTAAGACGAAAATCACCTGATTGTCCTTGGGGTATTACAATATGCGGAACTGATGATGCACCAGATATCCCAGTTCTAATTGATTCAATCAATCCTGGTGATCCTGGTGGGGAATGTGGTTTAATTCAACCTGGGGATCGTATATTAGCGATAAATGGTATCACATTGCATAATGGTCATACACTTACACAGGCTATGCGTATGTTACAACATTTCCCTGATAAAGTGATATTGCATATAGCGCGTAAATCAAATTTCTCCTCAACAACTAATAACTCTTTATCGATTCCTACTAGTGCTATTGTTACATCTGGTGGTGTTAGTATTGTGCAAAATGAACAGTCAACTAACAAAATGACCGGTGAAATAATTAATAAACAAACAGAATGCCTTAATCAACCACCTCTATCGAGAAAATGTACACTTGTAAAGGTGAGTAGTGAAATGAGGGAATTTTCGACTATATTACTGTTAAATCTATTTTAATTTTCAGTTCTCATTTACATTCCTGTTGACTGGACGTTATTTGTATTCTGTGAATATGAATAATGCCTAAAGTGTATTCCAGTATTAGCTAAGCTAACACTGGGTGATTTTGTGAAATGTCAGTATCAGCTGTTTCAGTGTTACCAACAAGAACTAACATCAGTAATACCTTTAAAACTGTCTAGGATAGTTTATTGTCAGTCTTGTAGTTTTGTGATATAACTCTTCAGGTTAGTAGTAAATGAAATGAAGCGTACTCAAAAGTTTAGACCATAAGAGTCATAAGTTAGGCTAGGGATTATAAACGAATGAATCACCTTTATAGGTGAATACTCAGTCACACCTCAGTGTTCAATTTATCCGTTAAGAATTCCCATGGAAAACTTCTTGTTATCTACGGTCGCCATTCATATCACTAGCATACAAATGGAAGGAACAATTCTTTGTTCATCAAAATTTACTCATCTTTCACTCAGGAAATCATTAATTGATTAACTACACCCACAAAATAATTTTGGTTAATTGCACGCCATTAGGAAATGTATTTTTTCAAACACATTAAGTAATTATTAAGATGTTTTCACGAGGGACTGTTGTTTTATTATTATTATTCTCATAGGTTCCGAGTGGAAGATAGGTCCTCAACAGCACATCTCCACTTCGTTCAATTTCTTCCTCACACGATCTCCTCCACGTCACTCTCGAAGCGACGACCCACTTACCGTCTCCCATTGAGATTCCACCCAAATGATGGCCTGCATTGAGTGTGATGTCACTCAACGATCTCCTCAACGTATATCCGATCCATCTCCACTTTATCCTACACATTTTTTGAGCAATCTGTTCTTGGTTGGTTTGTTACCAACCAGAGTTTCTCGTCGCTAATACTTTCTGGCCTGCCACCTGGCCATTTGATCTTCAGTATGGAGCCAGCCAGCGAAGGTGGAAGCTGTTGATAAAAGTCTGCAGTTGGATGTTGGAAATCCCTTTCGTGACACGTAATACAAGTTCCTGACCCTCATAGAAGGACTGACTGAATTCGCGTTGGCGTTGAAAATCAGAATCTTGTTCTTCATGCTGGCCGAGTGCAGAATATTTCCAAACTGGTTTCAGGTTGATGAAGGTGTATCTCGCCTTTCCGATTCTGGCTGGCCGGCTTTGATATCTTTATCCTTTCCGTTCGCTTGTGGTTGACCTGTGCTTCCTAGATAAGTGAAGGAAGTCATTTCATTCAAATCACTCCCGTTGATGGTGATTGTTACTGGTTGTTGATACTGTTGCTGTTGGATGGTTATTCTTATCACCTCTATGTTCACCTAGAGTCTTGTCTCCCTTCGCTGCTAACCTCTTCGGCCAGTTTGTTGGTTTTTGCCTGTAAGTCTTCGAGTTTGTGTGACATTAAACATAAGCCATCCACACGCGAAATCCAGATCTTCTAGAGTTTTCTTATCAGTATTCGGTGTGTTCCTGTCTTCTCACTCCCTGTGTACGGTCTTCCGCATAATTCAGTCCACCACAATCAAGAATATCATTGGTGATAATAGGTAGTTTTATCTTACACTTGTCTCCACTTCAAACATCTCTCTGAATTTTCCATTGTGCAACACCTAACATGTATCATTGTCAAATAGCCAGTGGTTAAATGAGGTTGATAAAAACTTGGGGCATGAACGACTGGAATCTTCATAATTTAAAGTGATTTGCAAAAATACTCTTCATGACAACAAGGGGTTGAAAAAATCGAATTCCTCTAAACGCTACATTAGTGGTAAATAGCCAATGATTGGTGAAACACTAACAATCTCAACTAGGCTTCACTTATTTTTGTCACTTGGGGCATTGAAAAATGTTTATTAGAATTCTGCTGTTGGCTGATGCCGCCTATAGAGGGTTGTTTTCATGCGACAGGAATTATCTGAACACTTTCTACCAATGCACTAGAGCGAATAACTGTTTATTTTGTTGAAGCTTGATGAACAGATCATAGGGTGCATCTTCACATCGTCTCAGATCCCAGCATCCGTCTTTTATTCACAAAAGAATGTGGTTAATAAGCTAACTGTTCATAAATTTCACTTGACATCGGATTTCTGAACATAACTTCAAACTATTAAGGGCCTCACTGATAAAACAAGTTTTGAAAAGACTTATAATTAACTATAAGCTGAGAGATATACGCTTTGAAGTGAAGTATTTTATTGCCATCTCCTACTTGAAAATGATATTTCTCAAAGATGCCAACCATTCGTTTCATGTTTCCTATTGTTTGTTATTCCTTTTAAAATACCAACGCTGTTTTGTTTTTTAAGTAAACACTTGCTACTGTTGATGAGTAACTGATAAACCGAGTGTATCATTGTCATTTCTCTTGTTTCAAAAGTTACTTTAAGTAGAATATATATATATATAACATGATTGTTTTTGACAAATGGATAGTAATACAAGGAGTAATAACGATAGTATTATTATTAATAATAGTAATGATAATCCTCGTCATCCTACTCCTCGTTACCGTCACCGTCATCATGATCATCATCATCATCAAGTTCGTCAATAAGATAAGAGAAAACAAACAAATATGCTTCGCTGTATTTTTCCTTTTTGCCTGCTAAGATAACTAATAATGATAGCTAAGCGTATAATCTAATTAGCTTTTCGGATAGTGAGCTATTCTGATTGAAGGGGTGAAAAGAATAAGAAATGTTGATAGGATAAAGTAATAATCATAATACGAAATGAGCAAGAGAGAGAAATGAATAAGACAACATTAATAAGTAAAATGAGGCGAATAAGCATACTTCATTAATAATACTACTAATAATAATAAGATGAATAGCACTGAAAAAATAAAGAAGGATCAAAGCTTCTTCTTTGAATAATCTACTATCCGATTGTATACGTCTACTAGTTGTAGACTGCATAAAATAATAGGAATGAATAGTAATCATAAAAATTAATTATCATCAAGTCAAATCAGTTTATTACCTATTTAAACATACTTTTGCGTATATATGTATGTATATATCGCCTTTTTATCCGACATGCGCATTTATTTATTATAAAGGATTATTCATTTACTGATATTAGATTTCTTATGTGTCCATTGGAAATAGATAAGTGTATAAGCAGAATCGACAGAGAAATTATTATTATTAATATTATTATTATTGAACCATTTGTAAGTTTTAGTGGAAAAAGCTTATACCTTGAGATCTTTCTGTTCCATATCAGTGACTAATTATAAATTAGGCCTAAATGCTTACACTGAATTTATCAGGCAATTCTCAGAAATGTAAAAATGGTAGACTGTGAAAACTCCGTACACTTCTTGGAGTAATATCAAGAAATAGTTAGCAGAAACAATTTTTCTTCATTTTCAATGCTGGAGTTTTTTTTGATGGGACACTAATCAGTAACTAGTGTAATGCGGTTGTGTCCAGTCCTTTGTTTGGTGCAGACCGAATTATCTCTGTCACGTCTGCAATGTGGCCAGCATTCTAGATGGTTCGCCATCACGGTGCACTGTGAATTGTTGGTATTAGATGATTGGAGGCAATCGACAGGTAAGCCCAGTTTGACCTAGGTTTCATGCTAGTTGCAGATACGCCTTGTTGATGACACACTACACTAGCTACTGACTAGTGAACAATGAAAAGAAATATCCAATACTGTCATACAAGAGGTCGACTGCAAGCCCGAATTGTTCAGTGGTAACGTCTCTGACTTCAGTACTCACTGGGTGACGCTGGTTAGAATCTCAAAAGGGAAATGAGTTCCTTCTCGATTGCAGATATGCTTTGGTGGCTGGTGACTGTCAACTAGCACGAAACCTAGATCGATGACTTCCTGCCTATTGCCTTCAGTCATCTAATATACTGAAGTGTATATATATGAAGTATTCTTAAATCGTTGCATCGGTGGTCCAGGAGTAGAATACTTGGTAGACACGCCCTACACTCTCCGGAGTTTGATTCCCAGCCGATGCTCTCCTAAACTTCAGTTAACCAGTAGTAAGCCTGGTAAGGAAGGAAGGTCGGGTGTGAGGCTAGCAACCTCACTCTGTAAAAAAAGCACCGCTGCTAGTGAAACTAGAATCCCGAAGTCTGAAGACCTATATTCCATTCAAACAATAGGGAATAAATTTAAATTAAGTAATAAAATATTCTTAAATCACACAGACATATCTGACTTCGCTATGCTTTCAAGCCTATTTTATTTTTGGAACGATTTCTTATCCGAGCTACCGAAATTGTCTATAGCTAAGTGGGAAATAAGAACAAAGCATATATACCATTACTTCTAGATCACAGACATTAGGGTCATTTCGCTTAGTTATTTGATAATCAATGTCAGTCAGCAGAAATCTATTAACAATATACTTGTTCAGGCTCATCGCCTAAAAATACATGCAAACTTGGGAGAATTTACATTGTGTCTGAGATTTTAATCAGTATGGCTTGACATTTTACCAGTAGGCTGTTTAAGTCACTAACTACTTAAACAAGATCAGCGAAGTGGAATTCATGCTAGAGTTATAAGAAAATATCTTTAAACTAGAAGCGATCACTACATAGCTGGTTGAAATTGTCAATTTTCAGAAGAAAGATGAAAAGAAAGCAACCCTGTTTTTCTAATTTATTGAAGTATAGAAAAGTACTCCGAAATATCTTTTTTTCAAGCATACAACTGTGTTTTATTCATATATTATTTTTTTATTCAAGGCTGTTGCAACAAGCAATTTCAGTAGATCATTTGATTCTATATCAAACAGTTTCAGTTCAAATTCAGTATCGAATAATTATTCTGACGGTCAGCCTATCATTGGACGTAATATTAATAATAAAAATGCCAACAATAATATCAAAGTATACAATTCAGGACATTACTGTGACGAAATAAAACAGTCTGTACAAAAGTCAAAGACAATTTACGATTCTAAAAGTGCTGCTCAAGTTATGGATACGTCATGGATTGTTTCCGGTAATCAGTCAGAGAAAAATACTGGTAAGTACTTATTGATATTTTTAGGAAGTAAAACGGAAAGAATCTAAAGAATAGTAATGATAAGTTTTGAATTTGACAGACTAACTATAAAGTGATCCTACTTGGGAATAGTAAATCTACTAAGTTAACTTACCTCATTCATTTACATTCTAAAATTAAGTCGCATTTTGTCAAAAATTTTTTTTATTCCTTCACGTTCCCAGTGGAACATTGGGCTTCAAACTAGAGGCTTGAAGTTTCTGTAGCAGTGTTTATTTTTACAGGATAGATTTGCTAGCTTCATGCTCAGCCTTTCCTCTTTACCAGTCTTATTACTGGCTTAGTGAGGTAAAGGAGTGCAGACAGGGCTGTCTATTATCACCGATGACATTCTCAGTTGTGCTGGACTAGGTTATGCATCAGACTGTGCACTGAGAGTGAGAAGACCACCGATAAGAAGACTCCAGAAGATCTGGATTTCGCGTATGGATTGCTTATGTTTAATATCACAAAAACTCGAAGACTTGCAAGCGAAAACCAACAAACTGGCTGAAGAGGTTGTCAGCGAAGGAAGACAGGACTCGAGGTGAACATGGAGAAGACGGAGGTGATGAAGATAACCATCCAACAGCAACAGCAACAACCACTACCAATCACCATCAACGCTAGTGATTTGAATGAAGTGACTTCCTTCACTTATCTAGGAAGCACGGTTTCAACCATGTGCGGAACGGATGAAGATGTCAAAACCAGTCAGATTCAGGAAGGCAAGATATATGTTCATCGACCTGAAACGAGTTTGGAAATTTTCTTCACTTACTAGTATAAAGAACAGGATTCGGATTTACAACACAAATTTGCAGTCAGTTAGTCTTTCTATATGGGTCAGAAACTTGCACTGTGTGTCACGAAAAGCATTCCCAACAGGTCACTACAGGCTTTTATCACAACTGCCTTCACTGGCTAGTTCCATACTGAAGATAAAATAGTCAGAAAGAATTCGCAGAAATAAACTCTGGCTGGTAACAAACCAACTAAGAGCCTATTGCTCAACAAATACATAGAGGAAAATGGAGATGGATCGGGCATAGGTTGAGGAGACCGTCGAATGACATGGCACTAAGTGCAGACCATCGCTCGAGTGGAATCCCGATGGGAAGCGACAAGTGGCTTCGAGGGTGACATGGAGGAGATAACGGATTATGGGTAATCGTGGTCCAAGCTGAAATATGACTGTAGAAGACAGGATGAAGTGGGTATGTGTTGCTGAAGCCCTATGTTCCACTTGGAACTCAAGGGAACAATGATATTAATAATGCAGCATCTGAAAGAAGACAGATTATGTGACCGGTATTTTTATGAAACATAAACAATTACACTTAGATCCTGCTTCCATACTCTTCAGTGAAATATACATCAGTGATGTTGGTGTACAAAAAAGATGCGGCATACTGCTTAGTCGAGTTCGCCTTGATAATAGTTACAAATATTGGTTGGAATGAAATCACTTATCTATCAATAACTAAAATACATCACATTATGATGATATTTATTTGTTCAACACCCATGGAAGATTCAGTCGACACTTGAAATTAAAGGTACTTCTATCACCTTTATTTAGCTCAGCTACTTTCAGCGTAGTTTTGGATTTTGTAGACAGTTGGATATCAATGCTACTGAAGCGAATTCCATCGACAGTTCAGAATGATACACACAGTGAAGAGTAGTTCTGCATAATCTGGTATCTGTCAACATGAGCTCTCTCATCGAACAAACTAGACAGTAGAACGAATACGGAAATCAAGTTTATTCCACCATCTCATCTAACAGTTTGAAAACTATTCATAAATAATTTAAAAATTAGCCACTATTTTTCAAAGCGTCATCAATCTACTTCATGCATCTTTTTGCCTGTCAACATCAAAACTATCTGCCTGACATATGACATGAAGTCAACTGTTATCCAGCACTAAATACAAGAATCAGATAAAAGTGAGATTTGATAAAAATTTATGTGGGATATGACTTCAGAAAGTGTACCAAAATATTGCAAAATCTGAGCATAATTCACTGTCAGGCAAATCTTTTTTTCTCGCGAGTTATGCTCCAAATGAACTGAAGTAGGCAATATGTCAACCTTATAACTCTGTAGACAAAGATTCACTTATAAACTCTGGTGAGAACTAAAAATGGCAAAAGTGAATGGTATAGTCTATCTTAACAATACCTTGGCTTTGTGGCTTTTGTGTGTATTGTAAATACACTGATGAGCCTGTCTCCAATGGTCTACTTGTTGTCATCCTTAGTTGCTCAGATATCGTTCTTGGCATCATTTCTTTTGACAGTAAAAGAAGAAATAAAAAATTAACCAGATTCACCCCTAGATTTGAATTCTCCAAATAGTTTTAGATGGTTTTTATTCATTTTCTTACCAAGTTTTCGAGGTTTTTCTCATTCCTTATGGAAGACGACTTAAATATGTGCTAAAAATGATTAGAAAAGTATTCAATGCTTGTGATGGAATTTGAACACTTTCTTATTTATCTCGTCAAATTGTCAGAAGAGTTCGACATCCAAGCATGACTGCACTCACAACAACAGTGTTTTGTTTGCATTTATTCTACAACGTTGTCATTTATTGTCGAAGAACTGAGTTTTTAATTGATTGGCTTAGTGAAATTACTCTAACTTTTCCTTTCGTCACTTTTCCGGGCTATTAAAATAACCTCTTTTGCATCTGATTTAATCAAATGCTCACCCGAAAGGTATGAAGTAGGAGGAAAATAACAAGTAACGTGATCTATTACCTTCAGAAACATTTCTGGAGAGATTACTCATCAGTTCGTACTTGGTCTACTTTTCATCCTGAAACGTACACAGAAATGTCAACCATTTTCCTCCATAATCATAAACAGCTACTGTGGGCGATTTGTGATAAGTTGAAATTTACCATAGTAGCCTAACTAACGCTCTTTCCAGCTGGTAATTCAAAATACAACTAACTACTTTGTCTAGAATCATTTTATAACTTCTGATAAAATTACTTCCATCTTAGAATCACTTTTTTGTTAGCCGACTTTTTCATATTCCATTGTTAGTTGTGGTAATTTAAACTGTCACGTAGTTGTTATCACTCCTTGTCAAAAACGACAGTCACTCTAATGCAAAGGAAGTTGTTTATTGTAAAGTTTAATTAGGTTGGTTGGTAATGTAACGTTATAATGAACTAATCACTACTAGTCTGGAAATTTTTTCTTCCAAACCTATATACCTACCGATCGTACTGTAGGAAGATGAAAGCTACAAACGGACAGACAGTAGTATTCCTATTTCGTTCAATACTGTTACCTAGGATCATTTTATTATTATTCCCTTGAGTTCTGAGTGGAACAGAGGGCTCTGATAGCTAATCGCCATTTTACACTGTTCTCTGCAGTCGCTTTTAGCTGGCGCCATGACTACCCACTATTATTTCCTTTAATTCCTAGAGGAACATAGGGCTTCAGCCGCGCGTCTCCATTGCATTCGGTTCTCTGCCAGAGTTTTCACGTGGCTCCAAGTCTGCCCACACACTTTCATCTCCTTTTCACATGACCTCCTACAAGTCACCCTTGCACTGACCACCAACTCGCCGCTTCCCTTTCGGGTTCCACTCGAGCAATGGCTTGTCTAGTGATGTCACTTGATGGTTTCCTCAGAGTATGGCCAATACATCTCCATTTCTTCCTGCCTATTTGTTGCACACTCGGTTCCTGGTCGGTTCGCTCCCACAGGTCCCTATTGCTGATCCTTTCTGACCGTCTGATCTTGAGTATTAAGCGAAGACAGCTGTTAATGAAGGTCTGTAGTTTGTTTGAGATGCTCTTTATGACGCGCAGTGCAAGTCTCTGATCCGTATAGTGAGCAGCACTGACTTCACATTGGAGTTGAAAATCCGGATCTTATTTTTGATGCTGAGAGTTGTTGACCTCCACACAGACCTGAGAGTAATGAAAGCTTGCTTTGCTTTCCTGATCTTTGCTATGATATCCTCGTCAGTTCATCCCTCGGAAACTCAATTCATCGTCTTTTATTCGAGTTTTACTCTTGCGATTTCCTGGTGCGTGATGTCACCTAACGGTCTTCTCAGTGTGTGTCTATACGCCTGCCTAGGGCATACCGTTTCAGATTAAATTTGTAAGACGAAAATAATTATCTTCCTTGATTTGTTAACAGCAAACTGAATAAAACTGTCGAGAATGCTTCTTAATAGTAACCTATTTCAGTACACAACAAACTAATGGAGTAGTACTCAAAACAGCCTGAATTAGGTGAACTACCTAAACGACATGACGACTGTAATCTTATCCCTGTATCCAGTCAGCTTCTTAATAATGGGGTAAGTTTATCAATTATTAATGCGTAAACTTCCGAGTTTACGTCAGTGGCACAGTGGTAGAATGCTTGCCAATCACACATGTGGTCCAGGGTTCGTTCCCTGGCCAACGCACTCCTTTACCTCACTAAGCCAGTAATAAGACTGATAAAGAGGGAAGGACGGGCATGAAGCTAGCAACCTCAACCCGTAAAAATAAACACCACTGCTACCGAAACTTCAAGCCTCTAACTTGAAGCCCTAAATTCCACTGGGAACGTAAAGGAATACAAAAAAAAATCAAAAACTTAACTTTATATGCATTTACGTCTGTATTTAGTTCATTTCTACGATTACTCTTTTGTTGGTCCAGGTAAAGAACCAATTACTTCCAGTCGTTCCGTATCAAAACCATCAACGACCGTTTTGAGTTCAACGTCTGGTATGCATGGCGAGATAAGTGCTAAATCCATACCTGTGGAGAATTTGAATTTAAAAGTGCCTTCAAACAAGGCTCGATCACAAAAGACTAAATCACACCATCGTTGTTCTTCATCATCATCTAGACGTGCAAATCAACCGACTGTATCACAACAACCACCACTTCTACTGCAATCATCTTCTAACGATGAACCTCAAATCACAGAAAAAGAAAGATCAAAGTATTCACAACCATTTGTTCAACAATACTTAGATCCTACACTAGGTGAAATAAATGATGATAATACACCACAACATTATAATGATTCTAGTCATTACACAGTACACCCTCCTCCTGAACATCAACGACACCCATATTATACAAATCAAAAGTATGCAAGATCATACACAGATTATCTTCAAATGGACTTGAATTTTATCCAGTGTTCAGGTTGTAGAAAAGCGATTGAAAAGGATATTAAATATTACTTATCAAGACAACAAAAACCATTTGAAGGACCACGAAGAGCTTCTTCATCACACAGAAAAGAGTAAGTATCTCGTAGGATTCTTTTTGCTCACTTGAGATCTGACTGTTTTTGTTTTGTTTTGTTTTTTGATAACTATGTTTACTGAATATTGACTTCGTTGATTCTGATACTTAAGTGCTATAGTGGTTTCGGCATACAACCATTTCAAATAATGTCTTTGATAGAAATAGGAAGCAAACTAGTCGTTTTAAGTATATCAACTTAGAATCTAATGCTCTATTATGAATAGAGCAAAATACTCAGATATGATCTTTTCTTGGTAACTTAAAAGTAGCATTTACGCTGCTCTTATTATTGACTTAGGAAGGAGCTGATAGTCGGACTATATTACACTGATGCACTCCGATTGCAGTTTACTTTCTGAAAAACTTAAGGTTGTTTCTTTTCGATCCATATGTGTTTAGAACTGAACACAATCTAAATATTTTCAAGAGTTGCTTTGTAAGGATTAGATTTGTTTTTACGAGTTGATCACGGATTGATATCAGTTAGAAAACAATTGAAAACGAGGGAGTACTGAAGAAAGTTGTTTCATCTTAGTTTGGGAATCATCTGCAGTGCAGACCCACCAGCAGGGTTCGAAATCAGGACCTTCCGATTACAAGGCGAGCTCATGTACCATTCAGCCACTCGGACCCGATCCAATGGCCCATGAATTGCGATTCCTACCAATTCGTGATTTTAGCGTGACTACCAGCCAATGTCATCGGCGGAAAATCCATCCTCAATCCCGACTGGATGGACCTCACTGGTCACGACTGCTCACTAGAACTCCAGGGAACTCCATCCTGTAACAAGTCACTAGCGAGCATCAGATTAATTTTCAAGAGTTGGTTTATAACGTTTTGACTCGTTTTCCGAGTTTAACCACGAATTGGTATCAGTGGCTGAATGGTATGCGAGCTTGACTTGTAACCGAAAGGTCCTGAGATCGTACCTCATTGAGTGAGCGCAGTCGATGATTTCAAAACTAGGATGAAACAACTCTTTACAGTACTCTCTGGTTTTCAATGGTTTACTAACTGCTATCAATCCATGGTCAAACTCGAAAAGCAATCTAAATAAATATTTGTAAAGTTTTCAACATTCCCTTGAACTTTTACCTGTCAGTAATAATAGTTGCCTTCAAACCTTTCCAACAAGCTGTAGTACTTCTCATCCATTTTAATTCTAGTTAAATTAAAATAGTCTGCAAAACGCATAATTGAAATGGTTATCCGGAAATCATTTTGTCTTCATTTGTTGTGGTGAAATATACTTGATAAATCTCTTTCAACTAGATTTTCTATTGGGTAGTTCATGTTATTGATCCCGAATATTAGAATGCATATGGATAATGGAGCTTAGAACACCTAGATAGACAGATGTAATATTTAGACTACAGATTTTATTAGCCAGATATGGTATCTCGCTTTCCAGACTTTTAGTCTTCATGATGCAGTTATCAAAGCTTTGCTTGATTTCCCGTATCAGTGTAGACAGTCTTCCAAACGAGCATTTCAGAGATAAACATTAGCATACACTATGCGTGGAAGCTTTTAGGTGTGCAAGATAGTTTACTTATAAATGAAATGTTTTCATCATTATTCATCTGACTAAGCGCGATTCTTGTTTACGATGAATAGTGTCAAATTTACATTGTTAATAATAGTTGACTGCTTACGTTTTCTAAGGTTTATTCTAAGTGAAGTGGTGGATGGTGACCAGCAGTGGAATCCAGGATGCGCATCTAAAATTGTATTAAATAAGTTTATTCTAAGTGTTGATATTACTTAAAGTCGTGCATAGTATAAATTGAACTTAATCTGTGTAGGTTCAGTTTACAGTTCTGCTGTTCCACCAATTGTGCGGAAAACATAAAACCCTGGAATACTGGAAGTGAGGGACTTTTACGCAATATAATCCCTTATATCTCCATGCCTTTTTGTGAGCTTCTTTTTCATTATTGACCAGCTACCGAATGGATTTTCTGAGGTTGTACTAGAAATTTGCAACTTTTGAGGTCTAGCATATCTGAAGCGAAGACATCTATTCTGCTTTGAGGGTGAGTAGGAGTTCGAGGTATTCTGATATTGTCCGATTGATCATGTCCTTAACTTATGGGCATTCAGTTGCAGTACCTAGCAACTTAGTTTGAAATGTCATTACTTGCTTAATGTTCATTTTCTCTTCATTCATATATACAAGTCTTATTTGACCAGCTGTTGTAGTATCTTTATCTGCATATACACGCATCCTTCCTCCTTCCTCTTTTTTTGAAAATTGGAGATACACATGCCATTCTTTCACTGACTTTTCCCATGTGTCCCGAAAAAAGTGTGCTTAACACCTTTCTGAAGTTGTAGTAATCACAATAATGTTTCTTAGATTCATATGTGTCTTCAGAATAGAACTTAAGCTTGTAAAAAAATTAGACCTAACAACTCATGCATACATGGATACGGTTAGGAAGTGTTTGTGGAATGTTTGGCAGAATTTAATTTTGGTAGTTTTCCTCCATTGTTCTAGAAAAAATCTACCATGATTTAAAAGTGTTCTAAAGTGAAGAAAAATCACAAGTGAGAATATTTACACACCAAATACAAATTGACTAAAAATACTTCATCTGTTCTAAATGCTTAAGTCACGCTTGTTCAAACTGCAAATTTATCTATTACGACACAATTTTCTCTTTTACTCTGCTTAGTGTTTACTTTTTTGTGTTGGTTATAAATACACTAATATTAAACTATGTGATTTGATGACTTTCGGTTTAACTAGGATTGCCTGCATACTGCAGGATTTTAGTTGAAATAAAAACTGTTTGTTCGAATGATAAGAAACCTAGTATGCTTGATTTTATCTTATTTCTTCTATTCAGCAAAAGCTCATAAAATCAAGTTGAAAGGATGATTCATAAGCCTAATTAAACGGTTAACTAACCTGTTATCAGACTGACCGGTAATTTTGAAAATTGAGAATTCCATACCTGTCTTTGTTAACTATCCTTGACACAATGTCAAGTTTATTGATTTTCCGCTGGACATTTAAAATTTATGGCTTACTGGAAGTAATTTGTCTTTAACTTTCTATGACTGAAATCTCTTGGGATAACATCACTGAATACGTTCGAATAACTTCAAATGACGCGCTTAAACATACCTAAGTATTATTCCGTTTCTGAAATATTTCTATTTCTTGTTGTTTCTATGATATTGACTTAGAATGAAATCCAAGATTTGATTCTTAGATCTCGGATTATCTTGAAAAAATGGACTTCTGATAAATCCTTTCATCATTATTTATAGTGGCACATTTATTGCTGCTGGTAAAACAAAACGCATTACAGTTTATACATCAAACATATCTAGATCCTCAAAGGAAACTTTATCCTCGCTTTAAGATCAGGTTAAATAATATTCTGTGATTTTCATCCCAAACGGTAAGACTTACAGTTGCTTATTTAGACTCTGAAAGTAACTACGCCTCAGCTTTCTCTCTTGGGTGTTTCGACCATTTTTTTCAAAATATGTTTCATGGTGCACTTCCTTCATATTAACAACCAGTCAACCGGGATATTGTTATTTGCACCATTTCACATTTAAAATCTCTTTACTAGTTAAAACTTTAGTTAGACTTATCACATTTCGGTAAATAAAGTTTATGACACAGTTTTGTACACTAACAAAGATGACAGGCATCAAACTTGACTAGATAATTACTGTTTGAATATTTAAATATTATTACAGTAGATACACCAACTGTTTGAAAATTGTCAGCATTCAATGTTCAATAAGTGTTAAAGTGGACTAGCAAAGTTTTGAATTTGGACTGAGAGGTGAATTATGACAAAGTGTTAAATATGCTATTTGTCACAAACATTATAAACTTCTTTGTTTACTGGTAGCTAGATTCCAATGCCATAGACACAGTTTCTGTTGCGTTTAAAGCTTGTCAGCGGGATTTGTTTTTTCTTTATGGGTGTTGCTATTTCTACTAAGGTTTGAATCCCACACCAAGTATTTTGATTATTGGTATAATAGATCCTCAATTTAGACGGCAGAATGAGTCCCCCTATTATAACGTTAATTGATTTGTGCTAACATATACTGAGAGGGCCAACATCTGGATTCGACACCTGCTGAAAATCTCGACGCCTTATATGAAGTTTATTTTATACCGCAAGCAAAATACTTTCTTCTTTCAACTGACTTTAAACAGAAGTTAGATTTATAACATTCGCCACCTATTTGTGAGTGAGTACTTTTTTTATTCCTTTTAAGTTCCCAGTGGGACATAGGGCTTCAAGCTAGAGCTTTGAAGTTTCGGTGGCAGTGGCATTTATTTTTACGGGATGGGGCTGCTAGCCCCGTGCCTAATCTACCCTCTTTACCAGTCTTATTACTGGCTTATAGAGGTAAGAGAGTGTGTTATCCAGGGCTCGAACCCCGAACCACGTGCGCGGTTGACGAGCATCCTACCGCTGTGTCACCAATGCACGATAATGAGTAGAATATTTATTTCTTTTACTGTATTATACTGATGTCTTCTTTGCACTTCTTTCGTGTTTTTTTATGAAAATCCAAGTAGGGATCAATGGTCCTTAATTAACGATAAAACAGTAGCTAGAATTTGTTTCACACTGAAACGTAATGAACCTTTGCTTCACTATGCACAACTGTATTAAAAAAGGAGTTAAAGTTGTGTTAACATATCCAGCTTACTGATCTTTATTGTGTGTGTGTTTTTTTTTAACTTTTCGTTATTATCTTCTCATCAGTATTATGTCGGTGTATACCATCGCCGGAATTATATTCACTTCTGTAATAATTTATCTATTGGCCACCTATTTTCTTCTCCTCTCCATTTTCAATGATTTATCACTTTTTCGCATGTGAGATGATAGATTGAACCATTAAATGTGAGTAGAATAGAAAAATGACTCAAAGTGAAGAGACGAAACAAAACTAAGGGCTCGATTCATCCCTTTTTCTTCATTTACTAATAAAATTTCTTACATT